AATAGTAATTATTGTTATCCTTTCAGTTCAGGGGTCCAGACCAATTCTACAGGGTCACAGGGAAACTGTCAAAGTAGAAAATGGTTTTCTGCAGATCTACATTTCTCAAATATGTTTAATGAAATATCTCTCCATCACTGAGGAGTGTTTCTGTGGGATATTTCCCAGTTAGACGGATCAGGTGACTCCATCCTTGACAAGAGGACATTATTCTTTGTGACATTTCTCCCAAACATCCAGTTTTTGTAAATGTAGTGTCTGATGGTTGTTGTGGAGACCTGATGACTCCAAGACGGGGTTTCCCCCAGAAAATTTGCTAAGCCTGGTGGTCGTGGCATCGACGTTTGTATTAAAAGATATTAAGTAGACAGAAAATGTAAAAATATTACTGGGTTATTTTATGTTACGGGAAAACATCGCCAGTGAAACAATATCTAAACCCACAACTACAGAATCTTAAAAACAACAAATAAAAAAAAACATTATTAAAATAAATATCAATTATTTGCACTTCTGATTACATGTAACATTTGTTTATTGAGACTATCAATGCTGCCAAATTCGATTTAGTTGCTTCAACATAAATTAAAATATATATTATATATTAAAAGTCCCAACTTTGCATGATTTTGTAAATTATGATAATTTAATGCAAAGTTGGCATTTTTAATGGACTTTCAATGCAAGTTTTAGAGCAACTTTTAAAGCATTAGAAGTGTCATTATTTACCAAATGACACTTCAGGACAACATTCATGACATGAACAGATGTTTATGTTCATGACATAACATCTGTCAATCTTATGCACACCCCTTCAAATAAAGTGTTACCGTTTCCTCTCTTTTAAACAATTTTTTTATAGTAGATGATTTGATTTTAGGCCCTAAACTGGATTGGTTGCTTTTAACAGAAACTTAGTTGGCCATAGATGCATCAGGTGTGCTCACTGAGACCTCCACTCAGTTTGAAATTTTCTTTTTATGCAGTGGCAGTAGAGGTGGTGGTACTGCTTCGATATTTCATAATTCACTGGGTGCTGAAGAGATTTCATTTGAGCAGTACCCTTCTTTTGAGCATCATTTAAATCTACTGAATGTTGGTTTTAACCTGTGGAAACACTGGACAGTTTGCTGCAGGGACAATTTTGCTTCATGGAAGGGTGTAAGATGCAGCCTGAGTATTGGAACCGGGCCAGGGAGACCTGGAGATGTTTTGACCCGCACCACCATCCCCCTCAGTGTGTGGTGTT